AGGTGTTTCACATCATGATTCACATAAACGGCTCTCAGAAAGTACTTTACAGGTAGCATCTCACATATTTTCAATTTTCCAAGTAAGTAGATTTTTTTTTTTGCGTGCATAACCTAACCTTGAGAATAATTTGCGAGTCTTAAATATACCAATATACTGGTGCAACAGTAGTTTGTGTATATTAATTTATTAAATACAGTTATTCATTTTTAGCACAGATAGTGTTTGCTCAGCATCATCAAGAACAAGTTAAGTGAATGTTCCATTGAGTTTGCTGATGTCCATGTCAGAGTACACAGGAGCCAGGCTGGTGCACAGTACCTGCTGATAAAAGGAAGTCATGGGTCGCACCTTCTAAATTAGAGATGGTCTAGGCAGGGTCAATGTCCATAAAAATATCTTGGGGAAAAGTAGCAGGGACCAAAGACAAATAACAATCCAAGGGTCAAGGGAAATACCAATAAAGTACAGGAAAAGGGCCATTAGCTACTCCAAGGAAACCAATAAACAAATTAGGCATCTGGTTACCTGACGGCAGATGTACAGAGATCTATATGTTCGCTGGTCGTAATTCAGATTTAGATTGTGTAAAATAGGGGGTGAATCTCCTACTGCAAGCTTACAGGAACCTACCGTTGACTGGACTCAAAATGTAGCTTGTTTCCCAAAACACACACATGTGATTGAACCCCTAAAGTTAGCCGTCTGCTGCTATATTCTGAGAAAGAGTGCAGTTCAGTATTGGATTCAGTCTGTCTCTAGAGATTACATTGTTAAAGTATGTGGCAATTCTTCCCAACAACATTAAACTGATGTACAATTTAAAGTCACTTGAAACTGAGGGTTGTATTTACATAGCAGTTAGTTGACAATAGATTTACAATAATCTAGGCCGAATCGGCAAAGTTGGAAATGTTTTTTAACTCCTGAGTTTCATTATACTTGTTATCTAGAAAGAGAAAGAACTGATTCACAGATAAGTAAGTAACTTAAATAAATGTTATTCATGATTATTTTTTTTCTATCTGTCCACCTGACACTTTTAACATGTTGATGTGGAAGTAAGAGCACTTGGCAATAGAGAAAGTAATCTCCTTGGACAAAATGGGGAAAGGGGGACATGACTGCTGCTCAAAATGGAGGTTAGGGACGTTCCCAAAAAGAGATACAATGTAACCAGGGTTCCCAGGTTTTTTGAATTTGGTTGCTGGGTGGGGAATTTCAGTCTGGGCTGAGCAATTGAGGGAGCCTGATTGCCTTCCCACCTGCACTCCCAAAGCAAGACAAAAAAAAATCTAAAACTTATTTATATATATAAGTCAGATTCCACTATTATTCTGGGTTCTATTGTTAGTAAATACTGTCTTCTGTGTTTTTGTTTGTGTGGTTTGTTTGTGTTTTATTGTCACAGAAGGGATTCCTGGCCAGCACAGTAAAAGTAGAAGACTACGGCAGGATCTTGGAATTTCGAGGGTTAATTGTCTGTTGGGTTACCCCCCAAACAGATGACAGTTTGTTAAAGGATGGAGACTGCTTGGTTACAGAATGTTATACTGTTAATAAAGCAGTGTCCATTGCCATTTCCATTAGAATTTCGTGCAATTCGGACATTCGGATGCTTATGAATGTCTGAAGTTCGAATTTCCGAATTACCAAGGTGACGAATTTCCGAAGTGCTGAACTGAACTGAATTGCCGAATTCCGAAGTGTTTTGGATTTCTGAAAAGTGGCAAAACAAGAGAGGGAGGAAAAATTACGTGAATGATGACAGGAATCTTGACCAATAAGCTTATTCCTGGCACTGGGAGCCCTATAGATGTGTGAGTGATTGTGGTGGCAGTCCGGGCACTGGGAGTCCTATAGATGTGTAAGTGGTTGTGGTGGTAAGGGTTAGGGGTTAGGGTTATGGAGCCCTACAGATGTGTAAGTGGTTGTGGTGGCGGTCCGGGCATTGGGAGCCCTATAGATGTGTAAGTGGTTGTGATGGTTAGGGTTAGGGATCCTTACAGATGTGTAAGTGGTTGTGGTGGCAAAGTTATTCGGATTTCTGAAAAGTGGCAAAACAAGAGAGGGATGCTTACGAATGTCCGAATTGCGAATGTCCGAAAAGTCCCAAATTGGCGAAGTCCCAAAACTAACTGACTTTGGATAATTTGGTCACTGGGTGCAGGAAAAGGTGAGTCATACTTAACTTAACTTAACTAATCTACTTCCTGTTGGTCCTCTTCAGCTCCTGGCAGTTCAGTTATAGTTGTATTCTCACGCATGCACAAGTGTACAACACTGAGATCTATGGACCTCAGACCGAGACCGCGGTATCTTTCATAGAAGGAGCCTTTTTCCCCTCAGGCTTCATTAGTGATGGTAAAGGACTTGACAAGGCTTGTTAAAATGTAGTTCCGTCTAGTTTTGAGCTGTGTCAAGTGTAGGAATAATACTAAGACAAAGTAGTTCCTATGTCAATATTTTGCAAAGATTTTATGTTTATGAAATACTCATTTTGGATTGGAGGGGGGGGGAGGGGGTTTGAGAGAACTACTTTAAATGTCAAGTGTCAAATGGAATATCAAAATGGGGAAATTTTATCCCCTATTTATTAAAAAAAAGAAAGAAAGGGTGAAGCAGTGTTACTCTTGCTGAATGGACTAATAGGACATTTTCTAAAAGGACAACTGTCATCAAATTTTTACTTTTGGTTTTTAAAAGTTTATTAAACATAAAGATGTATTGATATATAGAGATTTTTATTTATTTTTTTAGGAAATTTTCATTACTTTTTTTACTTTGATGATCAGTCATGTTGGGTCATATTCTGCTGTTGTCTGACCAACGTGATAACAGTTGTCCTTTAAGGTAATTAATAAGGGCTAATAAAAAATATACATGAAAATAAATTAAGTTAATTAAAATCATTAAAGCCTTTAACCTTTTTTTAAATTTATTTTTTGTTCTCCTAACGTATTGCTGAAGAATACTGAAGATGATAATAAATAATGAAGAATATAATAATAGATAATTAGTGCCTCGAATAGTTGTCTGAGTGACAGCCACTAGAGGCGGCCCTAGAAACACAATGTAAACACTGCCTTTTCTCAGACAATGTAATGTTTGCATTGCTGATACTGCAGGGATAGTCTCATAGCATCAGATTCACTACATTAAGGTGTAGTAGCTGTGGTGCTTAATGTCCCAATAACATATTTCTATTAAAGCATATTTATGTTACACTGTATGTATCTAGTGTTTAGAACATACCAGCAGCAGCCTACTGATGGAAGATTTGAAGGTGCACGCAAGGCACTTAAAGAAATCTAATGCAAAATGCAGGCTAGGTTAGAGTTACTTATGTTGTCAATTTTTTTCTCAATCTAATTTTAGTAAAAGTATTAAGTATTTACTAGTTTGTTCCCCCTTCGTCCAACAGTGTTTGGTTTTTGCTTCAAATACATATTGCAGTACTGCAGAACGATAATGATAATTGAATGACTCAGAGAAAGTATTGTGTCTGTGATAAACCACTGCTTGTGGGAAAATCTCAGTAATGCCATAGAACGTATAGTAAGCGTCAGCCACTTCCTGGTTTGGTGAGCCCTTGTTTCACATTCTACATGTCATGGAGTTTTGCAGGAAATGCAGGGACTTCAAATGTGGGCGTCTGTCATGGTATCTAACCACAACACACAGAGCATGAGCCCACCCTCAGATGGTGAGGAATTAGAACGTGTTACCGGTCCTTGGATGTGGCCGGGCAGAGTAATAAAGTCACCGTAAACAAACCAAAGTCAAGGGAAACCAGAGATAAAACAAATGAAAGTCAAGGGTGCTACAAATCAAAGTCAATGGAAAGTCTGGTCAGGATATCAAGAAATCAGAATACAGTATAACTCACTATTGTAGCCAAATAGGAACCACTACAGGGCAAAAAGCGTCAGACAGCCTGAAGGATTATCAGCAAATGAAGCCCTGGATTATTTCTGCAAGCCCAGAACGAGCGTGATGTTGTTGGAATGATGAAGAACGTCAGGAATCACTAAAATGATGAATGACTGGACCCTTATACTAAGATGTGGTTTGGAGTGTTCAGTGTCAGAAATGATACAAGCGTTTGATGCAGCCTTAATATGAGCGTGAGGAGGATGTGGAGGGTCAATAATGATGTAAGCATGATGCGCAGGGTCTGAATGGACGTGGGAATGATGGCAGCTGGTAGGTAGGTTTAGGCAATTATCATTCTTAGATAGCCTTTAGAAAACCGATTGGTAAAATAATCCTTATTTTACCACATCAATAATTTTAAAATGGGACATATTTTGAAGAAGATAAATAAACATATAGATAAACATATCTTTGGTACTCTAGATATTGTGGACCACATCTCCCTTGATGCTTTGCCAGTATGATGGCTGTATGAGTATTTTTGGAGATGTTGTCCTGGAGTGCCGAAGGTTGCCGATCCCTAAAATAGACTAACACCACACTGCTATAGAGTTATATAATAAATACCAAATCATAATTGATCTGGTTAACATATATTATATTTTAGGAACTCTCTATATTCTTCTACAGTTGTCGGTTTATTCACAAAATATCAAATTGCAGTGAATTGAAAAACAAATCTCAAAATGTTGGTAAAATGTACAGTTATTTATTTATTTTTTGAATTGTCCAAAATTGTCCAACTCATGTATAGTCACAGCTATTTTAGTTCGAAAGTTGCAGTTTGTTTGTAATTCACTGCTATTCAGTGTCTAGTCAATACATGTCTAACAGTTACGTTTCTCCAGCTGTCCAGGTGATATCTATTTATCGAGGATCCTTTTGTAGTCACTCGCTCCATTAGCCAATAGTGGGGCCAAGTCACAGATGTGTTTGAATGCAATGTCTCTGTAACAGTGTTTATAGCTATACACCAATTTTTCTTGCAGTTTGAAACGTTGGTTATAAAATGGATACAAGATGTTTCTCTGCAAATGTATTGTGTCAATTTCAAAAAACTAGACTGTAGGGTAGTCAGACAGGTTAGTGCTCAAGACAAGCAGCTCGGGATCACTTTCAGTAGAAGGTCCCAGGGTCAGGTTCAGTATCAGTTCAGTCTAAATATCAGAGCAGACAGGGTCAAACAACAAGCCAAGCTGGTAACTGTTAACGTGTCAGGTTGTAAATAGGAATGAGCACAAACAGGGTAATTTACTAAACTCTAAATTGTTGTGAATTCAAAATACATGTATCATTTTGGGGTTTAAGAGGCAATCATAAGAATGAACAGAGACATAGAGGCTTAAAAGTGAACTATTACTCTGAAATTACACAATTGAATAAAACATTGAAAATCACCTTAGTCTTGTGTAAAATATGTATTTGTGTTATGCTTAGCTCTTTTAACGTTATATTGAAGATTATTACACATTGCATTAGAGTAACAGAAAAACAAAACATTGGGGGAAAGTTATCAAAGTGACCTAAAAAGTGTTCTTCATTTTGGTATAAAATTTGTTGGCTTCCATCATGTAGTTCCTCATACATGCCTACGGCCACACTCGCACAAGCTTAGTACTAGATTGGCTTAACCACCGTTGCAGACCCAAACTTTGCTTGTTAAAGGGACACTATAGTCACCTAAATTACTTTAGCTAAATAAAGCAGTTTTAGTGTATAGATCAGTCCCCTGAAATTTCACTGCTCAATTCACTGTCATTTAGGAGTTAAATCACTTTGTTTCTGTTTATGCAGCCCTAGCCACACCTCCCCTGGCTATGATTGACAGAGCCTGCATGAAAAAAAAACTGGTTTCACTTTCAAACAGATGTAATTTACCTTAAATAATTGTATCTCAATCTCTAAATTGAACTTTAATCATATACAGGAGGCTCTTGCAGGGTCTAGCAAGCTATTAACATAGCAGGGGATAAGAAAATCTTAATTAAACAGAACTTGCAATAAAGAAAGCCTAAATAGGGCTCTCTTTACAGGAAGTGTTTATGGAAGGCTGTGCAAGTCACATGCAGGGAGGTGTGACTAGGGTTCATAAACAAAGGGATTTAACTCCTAAATGGCAGAGGATTGAGCAGTGAGGCTGCAGGGGCATGTTCTATACACCAAAACTGCTTCATTAAGCTAAAGTTGTTCAGGTGACTATAGTGTCCCTTTAACTTAGACTCACACTTTCATAATGTTTTCATAAAGGGTACCGGTCACACCACTAGTACCTACTATACACCTTATATCCGCTTTTTTTCTTCACATGCTCTTTTATATTTATTTTTTTATTTAAAAAAATTAGGTTTAGTTCCGGAGGTATTCACATTTAGCATTCTGTACATCATACCCTGACGATTTCATTATTCTGAACTGCATTAACTATGCCTCAATAACAAAATTGATTGACCAAAAAAAATGTTGGCTTTTCTAATCCTAGATTCCACCTGGAAAAAAGTGAAAAAGAAAACTCTTCATTCGGAAAAAAAGTGACAGAAAGATTGATTCATTTATTGAATTGCTGAGAAAACATTGAAAACTGATGGTTAGAGCACAAAATAAAAAATAAACTTGACAGACTGAGTAAGTTATGCCCAAAAACAAGAATAAGAAACAAACCACTCAAACATAGACATTGATAGTGTCTGCTATTTTTGGTAGATATTCTCTGTGCTGGTAGATAGGTGCAAAAAGCAGAACTTTTAACAATGACTCATAGGACACTAGGATGGAAGTTTTAGGTTCCAAGATGGCGGCAAATACTGAGAATTTCTGCATTCAATTATGTTTTTCAGACTTAATAAACACGTATGTGTTAAATATAGGGGATGAGTTAACATTATATTAAAACTCTTGGGACGCGACAGTCGCCCTTTAAAGCACATTTAGCAACATTCCTTCAAGTCACCGCTAGATTCCGAGATTGGTGCTTGTGGTAGGGTTTGTGTCATTAACTATGCCTGTACAGCGGAACTGGCAGGCACAATGACAACCAGAAATACATTTAAGAACCACATGCAGGGATTTTCCTTCTTTATATAATAAACAACAGCATTTTTCTTGCAGAACAAGTTATTGCATAAAAAAAGTGCCAAGAATGTGGTCAATAAACACCAGACCACAGGGGAGCTGTATAAATTAAACATTTATTTAAATTTAACTTATATGTATAATGTTTTCACTGTTGTATCATCATAAACATATAGACCTATGCTTTCTCTGAATAAAAAAGTAAAATGTGTACAAGTTTTTGAACTTTGAGAAGTCTATATTATACAGGATACAGGAGTAGAGGTGCCTATTACCTGATACAATATTTTTTCCTTGATATACATATTCTTCATAGTGTAAAATGGACATCAATAAATTAATGAATGCAGTTTTACTGAGATCCTTTTAGATTAACTTTTTTGCCCAGGAACACGAGTTGTACACACTGCAGGGTAGCAGTTTTAGTACACTACTCACAATGTGAAAATTACAGAAAAACCTACTGGATCTATTAACCCTAGACAGGAGGTTGCCATTAATTTGTTGGTACCTGTGTAGTTTTTGGCAGTTGACAAAGTTATGAATTCTATCTAGACTCTCAGAATACCTGGAGGCCAATCAGAATACAGCTTTGGTTCCAAATGTTAGCTTGTCTATGTTATTCATTCATTATGTTTGACCAATCTGGATACAGCAAGTGCTAACTCAAATAGCAGCAGGAAATGATGTAAACATGCAACATAACTAGCAGCCGACATAATTAATATAGCTCTGAGTTATTAACTGTATAGATTGTGAGGTGAACCTAAAATTGCATATAACTGTCATCTACAACAAAACATTACTGACTTTTTAACATTTATACTACCCAACATAAATGCTCACATAGCTATTTGAAATTTTGTGAATTTAAAGTAAACTGCAAATTTTACGCCAATATAACCAAACAGAAAATATAGCTGAGTAAGATTTTTATTACCGATACAGCTATTTTGTCTTACAAATCTTTAAATTCACTTTGAATTCTTGATAATTCGCACTTTATCAAATGACCCAGACGTCATGCATTAAAGGCCCGAAGCACGTATCTCCACAAGCTTCCCGGAATAAAATGCAATCTGTTGCCCATTGTTTGCACGAACATAAGTTAGAGGATTCTGGGAGAATAGTCAAAGGGCAGCTGGAATGCCAGACGCTGTCTGTGTATCTCCATGACCTTCACCATGACCCTGTATCATGTGAGGCTCAAAAAATGTGTTGCAATGGCTACACATGTCATTCTAGTCCCACAAACTGTGCACTCCCCATCCTCTGCCTCTATAAAAAGTTTAAGGCTGCAGTATTGCGGATTTAATTAAGGCACTCACTAACAAATACAGTTTGCGTTCTTGAAAACTAACAGGAAATAAACAATAACAAATACAGTCTTGAGTTGACATTTTACTGAACACACTGCTGAGGTTTGCATAATTCATAAGCAATTCTCATTAAAATATCATTCCGTTAACCTGCAGTATTAAGAAAAGTGAATATTTTTTCTTCATTAAAGTATCTGCCATAGAGATTATATGGAAACTAAATATCAGTACATCACATTGGGTAGATCTGCCGTGTTAAAATAAAATGATAAACAAGATAAATAACTAACCCACCCAGTTACTGTTTTTTTGTTGTTTTTTTAAGATATTGAATCCTCACATTTTAGGGGGTCAATTAACTAAACCGAGCTGCAGAATCTAAAAATAAAATCACTGAATTGAGAAGAATGATCAGTTTGACCGCCATGTTGGAAATATTTTGATGTTAAATGAGCAAATATTTGGGTAAATTTAAAAATTATTCATGTAACTAGGAATCATTTAAAGGGGAAACAATGGCAGCAATTATTTGATCACACTCTAAATTGAGCAAAGTCACATTAAAATTTGCTTCAATTATATTAACCAATCCAATTGTAGTCTTTCCAAATAGATTATAATTTAGCCCAAATAGGGGATAAACTACCCTGGGATATCTTATTAATTGAAACTTTGAGAAAGAATCTTAAACAGTGTACCCACTTCTTCCATCTCATGGTGTGACAAAGGCATTAATTCAATAAATGTGTGAATTGCAGGGACCTGAAATTAGTTGAGCGTACTTGCTCAAGTGTCCTCTGATTCCCAAACCTCATGTAATATTGAGTGTTTGCATAGTAATGAAGCAAAGACTAATGGTTCATTTATGGTTAATAGGGGTAACACGTTACAAGGATAAAAGCTACCAGTTCCAGCTCACTGTTGATTATGGAGCCCTGATTACACATTTATCCCGCTGGTTGGATAAATAAATGCCCAATGATATTTTTCCTACATTTACAATTTGGTAAATTGTAAATAACCCCAAACTAATGTAGTCTTTATTTTTTAAGTCAAACAAAGAAAACTCACTGTTTAGTAAATAGATCCCTATTTATTTTGTTTAAAACAATCAGTTTAACTTAATTCTACATCAACTTTTAGGGTAACAAACTATTCTATTCTCTTCCTTTCAAAGTGATTTACACAAGAGGTATGTATAGTCACAATAATTCTAATTTCTACACGCCTACATTGAATTTTTTTTACAGTGGTATAGTAATGTAAAATGATTAATACATTGTGATGAATATGAAAATATTATCTGGGATTATTACACAGGATTCAATAATAATGACCTCAGGTGTTCACATGGTAAAAACACACTGTAAATCTTGTTTAGGTTAATTTTGGCCTCATATTTTTAATGCATTGTATGTATATAATAAATTACAAATTGCAAAAAAAAATACAAAAATTAAAATGATTACAAAACAAAATCCACCATTTCCTACCATCCCTTAGAACACTGTTTAGTGGGTTTGCCTGCAGAACCAGGATGTAACGCTCCAATCAAAAGTGTCTCAGTCTAGTCTACCAGAACAGATTTTAGCTCAATAAATAGTGTCTCCCCAAAAAACACGCTGGTAAAATCATCTATTTACAATGCACAAAAAACAAAACAAGAAAAAAAACTCTACAATAAATTATAAAATACTTACAAAGATAACTGGGCCAATAAAGATTCAGAAAAGATAAAAAGATTAACTTGTGTAATAAAGCGAGATGACTTGTGAAAGGCTAGTTGCCCCCAGGATTTATCTTCCCTTTATGTTTTCCCTGATGCTAAAATGCTATTATGATTGAAAACTGAAAATTAATTAGAACACCCGAAAAGTAGATTTGTCTTTCTTGATATCTGAACATTTGTTATTTTAAAGAGGAACCATGAGTTAAAATTATCCTTAATTTT